CGAACTTGTCCCAAACTCCGTTAACCCGCTACAACTTTGTGCAAAGTCCCATTCAGTTATTATCTGCGTTCATTAATGAATAATAGTGCACGGTTCACCAACACCCTCAAAAGTAAAATTCTCACTCTGTGTTGAAATCACTCTGCTGCCTCACTTCTCTCTATCTCTGTGACCTCCCCCAGATTAACAACCCTTTGAAAATTCACCACAAAGCCATAAGATGGAGGAGCAGAAGCACGCCATTCAGCCCATCATGTCTGTGCCATCATTCAATGAGTTCATCTGATAATCCTCAACCTTACTTTGCTGCCTTTTCCCCAGAACCCCTTACTGATTGAGAATCTGTCCATCTCAGCCTTGAATATACTTAACAACCCGACATTTCCCTCTGGGTCTATTCAAGAGGAAACAAATTCTCCACGTTTACCCTGTCAAGTTCCCTAAAAAACTTGTGTGTTTCAACAAAGTTACCTTTCATTCCCCCAGTCTCCAATGAGGCCCAATCTACTCGACATCTCTCAAGAGAAAGTCCTTCCATACTCAGGATTAAACTTGTGAACCTTCTCCGGGCTGCCTCCAATTCCAGTGATATGCAGTATATCTTTCCTTAGATAGGGGGACCAAAAAACTGTTCACAGTATTCCAGATGTGATCTGACTAGTGCCTTTTATAATTTTAGCAAAACTTTTGTGCTCCATTCGCATTGAAATAGAGGCTGACGTGGTATTTCCCTTCCCATATTATCCACTGAATTTGGATGCTAGCATTTTTTTGGATTCACGCTTTTCCAGTTTTGACTATTTCAAACTTGCCTCACTCCATCATCCCTTCCATACAGGATTGTGGATGTACTTTAACCTTAAGGACTGCAATGGTTCAAGAAAGCAGCTCACCATCACCTTCAGGGTAATAAGGGATGTGCCACAATGCTGGCCTCACTTGTGATACCTACATCCTATTAACAAATTTGGTAAAATTACCAATGATACCGTCAGATGTTTTGGCAGTAAATTTCCATTTCCCTCTCTCCTTCTTTAAGACATGACTTAAAGCCTTTCTCTGTCACCAAACTTTGGTGACCCTCCTAATAGCTTGTCCTTTGGCTCAGCGTGAATTCATTTTGCCCATTAAGCTCTTGTGAAATATCTTGGGACGTTTTATAATGTTTAATGCACTGTGTAAATGTACATTATTGTCATTTGAATATTTCACATTCCTCTGCCATCAAATTAGTGACAGACCATTGAGCAGGGAGCTTGCCAACCATGCAATGCTTCCCACAATTTCTTTTTCCAGATGCAAAATTTTATCCTCGCCTTGTTCTGTTCCTCCCAAACTGTATAATTTAAGAGCTTGCTTAGGCACACCCAAGGACATCTTTGCTAAAAGGCATAAATTAAACATTCCATTTGCACCTCCTCTACTTCTGTTGCAATGTTTGACAGGGTGCTCTACATACAGCAGTGAGGCGGTGGTGATGTTGTGGTAATGTGGCCAGACTAGCAATCCAAAGGTAAGAACAGAAAATGCTGGGGAAAAAAAAAAGAGTCCATAAAACTCAGGAGCAGGTGTAGGCCATACAGCCCATTGAGTTTGCTCCATCATTTAAAGGCACTGTGGCTGATGTGATGGAGAAGATGTGATGGCCTAGTGGTATTATCGCTGGACAGAAAATCCAGAAACCCAGGTAATGTTCTGGGGACCTGAGTTTGAATCCCACCATGGAACATGGTGGATTTTGGATTCAATAAAGAACCTGGAATCAAGAGTCTAATGATGACGATGAGATAATTATTTATTGTTGGGAAAAACCTGTCTGGTTCACTAATGTCCTTGATGGAAGGAAACTGTTGTCCTTACCTTGTCTGACCTACATGTGACTCCAGACCACAGCAATGTGGTTGACTCTTAACTGCCCTATGGCATGGGCAATAAATGCTGGCCTGGCCAGCGATGTCCTCATCCCGTGAATGAATAAAAAAAGTGAAATAATCCTTTCCTGTCTCTCTTCCCCATAACTCCTGATTCCCTTACTGATTAAAAATCTGTCTCTCTCAACCTTGAATATATTTAATGACACAGCATTCAAGAGGTGGCTAGAGTTAGCACTTGGGGTGAATGGGATCAAAGGTTACGGGGAGAAAGCAGGATTAGGCTATTGAGTAGGACGATCAGCCGTGATCGTGAGGAATGGCGGAGCAGGCTCAAAGGGCTGAATGGTCTTTCCTGCTCCTATCTTCTATGTTTCTATAGCCATCCACAGTGAAGAATTCCACAGATTCACCACCCTCTGAGAAAAAAAAGTAGTTAAATTGGACTTGGAACATTAACTCTGTTACTCGCTGCACAGATCTGTTGAACATTTCCAACAGTTACTGTTTTTATTTCAGATTTCTAGTATCTGTAATATTTTATTCTTATTATTGTAATGCAGAATCCCAGACTAATGGTCTTATGACAAAAGGTTCAATTCCCACCTCATCATCTGGTGGAATTTAAATTCAACTAATCAGTCACAGAATTGTTACTGCACAGGAGACGGCCATTTGGCCCATCGTGCTTTTACTGGCTCTTCAAACAATCATTACCTAGCACTAACCTTCCCGCTCTTTCCTCACACCTTGCACACTATTTCTGTCCAAATAACCATCAAACGCCCTCTTGAATACTTCAATTAAATCTGCCTCCACCACATTTCCAGGTAGCGCATTCCACACCCTCATTATTCACTGGGTGAAAAGGACAATTTTTTCCCACCCTGGCTTCACTTGTGTGGTCATTTGAAATCTATGCCTGCTCATTCTTTTTTCCTTTCATCAGGGGGAACTGCTTCTCTCTATCTACTCCATCCGGCCAGCTCATGATTTTGAATACCTCGCTCAGATCTCCTCTCAGTCGCTTTCCCTCCAAAGAGAACAGTCCCAACTTCTTCAATCTGCAGGCGCTCCCTGATTTACAAACGATTGCTTGTTCTTATGAACGAGATCCCATATTACTGGGAATTTTAAAGATCTTAACCCCATTGTACTTAGAAATGGCCACTTTATATTGTGCTGTATCGTGTTCTGATATACATACAAATCAACTTACAAACGTACTCAGGAATGGAACCCAATTTTATCCTGGGGACTCTTCGTACCCTCACAACTGAAGCTCCTCATCTCTCCAGTGTGCTATAACATGGGACCCACAACTGGACCCAATGTTCTAGTTGAAGTCTAACCAGTGTCTAATTCATTTGGAATTAAGAGCGAGGTGCAGTGACTGAGACCATGAAGCTATCATTGATGATAAAGAGAGTCACTGGAGTCCAAACGTTACCTCTGTTTACATTCTCTACAGATGCTGCCGGACCTGCTGAGTTTCTCCAGCAATTTCTTTAAGCTATTATCGACTGTGGTTAAAAAAAAAGCCCTCTGGCTCACGAATGATGTCCTTTTGGAATGAAAATCTTACCCTGGTCTGGCCCTTATGTGACTCCAGGCCCATAGCAATAGGAGGGAGGGTTGGCGTAAAGACTGAAAGGTCCTCAGTAAGCCTTTCAACTCAAACTCGATGAGGGAAAGGGCAATAAATGTTGGTTTCGCCAGCGACTCCCACATCCCATGGCAGAAAGCATACAGAAAACAAAATAACATGCATGCGCTCCGCAGAAATCCCTCTCCCGTGTCTAACTCGGTCCAAACCGAGCGTGGTGTACGCTCAGAGGGGAAACTTACGGCGAAGTAACACCAATGGAGCTGGGGAAAGGGGGGCTCTATCCCCTTTCAGAGAACACAGTATTCCTCGGAAATTCAGGGAGCGCTAAAGCGACCCCCCTTCCCACTGGGGGACGGATAACATCGTTCACATTCGCACCGTTTCAACAGCTGGCAGGGTGAGATTTGAAACTACTTCAGTGTTTCTGGTGGTGATTATGTTAAAACACACCCCGAAGGACCTGGCCCAGCCCAGTGCTTTTTTTTGGGCAAATGATAGTTCGCGGTTCAGTGTGATCACCTGACAGATTGTTTTGTGATGGTTGTGAGGGCAAGTGTTGATCAGAAAGATCTAGTGTTGGCTGAAAAATAGCTTGCCTTCTTTCAAACACGGATGAAATTGGGAGTTTACAAACAGAAAGGCGCCCAAACCCATTTATTTCCAGAGAGGGGCTCAGGACAACATACCACGCGATCCCCTGGAACTCACTCAATCCCAGTTTCTGGAAACCTGAACGAAATGGGGAGGGGGGGGGAGGCAAGATGCCAAATCCAATCGGCAGGTTACCCCCAGCTCCCAAGGGTCACTGGCTGCTCAGAACACTCTGAATGAAGATTCTCCACTCACTAACACACTCCGACTTCAGAAACACCAACTCTTCACTCTCCTTGAATAAAACACCAAGAGACGGTCAAACGCCGAAGATACCACGGCAAGTGGGATCAGCTCAGTCTACTGCACTCACACTGGAACAAAATATGAGAGAGAGAAAGGAGCCTTCTCCAACAGACATTCCACGCACACTCGCTGCATTCTGAAAGTCGCTTTAACGCGTTCGCTTAAGAGATTTAAAAATAAATACAGCTCCGTAAACACCACAAGTGAGAGAGCTTGTCAAACCGAAATGTGGGAGAATTCCACAGCGGATCGCTGCTGCTTGTAACCCACTGAGCAGCCAGTAACAGGTTGGACATGTCCACGGGTCCCCCACGCTCAGAGTAACCCTGACCTCCGTCCCCAGGAAACTGACCTGGGGAACTGAGAGCTCCCCCGGTCCTTATCCCGCAGCGACACACTGCTCCCGATCAGTCAAACCCTCCCCGTCCCCTCCCGCATGAAAAGGGCTGGTTGGGGATCAGATGCTGATGCCCTGTCCCGGAGTGGAGCCAATGAGCTGGGAAGGGAAAGGGCCGTGTCAGGGCACTGCCTTCAGTAGGAAACAGGAGAGGCATTTCCACACACAGATACGCAATCACACAGACGGATAGAAAGTAAAGGTTTAGGGACACTCGGTAACTCACAGAATCGGCTACAAAAGTGAGGCCGGCGCCAGTTCCTTCAGCCCCAGCACTGGCTCCTGATGAGTTTGCAGACACAATGTTGCCAACGCCGGGATCCCGAGCCACAGCCGCAATGTTGCAACATTCTGTGAATGGAGCCACGCCGGAGGTGAGCTGTGGGCGGTCGGGGACGCGCTTTGTGACGGGCACGTTCACGAATCGCGTGCTTCTTCTGGCGAGGAGAATGGCCCAATCCCTGTCCCTCTCTATGACACAACACACACAGAAGAGCAGATTGCTTCAGGGCTGTCACTCGTCTCTCCCTCTGACACAGAAATACAGATTGCTTCCTGACTGTCACCAGTCTCTTTCTGACTCATACACACACGTACACACAGAGTCCTGCTTCAGGGCTGCCACTCGTCTCTCCCTCTGACACACACACACACACACACAGAAATACAGATTGCTCCCTGACTGTCACCAGTCTCTTTCTGACTCACACACACACACACACACACACAGAAATACAGATTGCTTCCTGACTGTCACTGTCTCTTTCTGACTCACACACACATACACAGAGTCCTGCTTCAGGGCTGTCACTAGTCTCCATCTGACACTCAGAAATACAGGTTGCTTCCTGACCGTCACCAGTCTCTTTCTGACTCATACATACATACACACACACACACATACACAGAATCCTGCTTTAGGACCGTCACTAGTCTCTCCCTCTGACACACACACACACACACACACACAGAAATACAGATTGCTTCCTGACTGTCACCAATCTCTTTCTGACTCACACACACACATACACAGAGTCCTGCTTCAGGGCTGTCACTCGTCTCTCCCTCTGACACACACACATACAGAAATACAGATTGCTTCCTGACTGTCACCGGTCTCTTTCTGACTCACACTCAACACAGAGTCCTGCTTCAGAGTGTCATTAGTCTGCCTTGCCAGGATTGTTAGCAATGGGGAAATCCCCTGCTGGGCTGGCCATTGAGCCTAGTGTCTCCCAGAATCCAGATTTAACTGAGAGGTGGACTTTCAAATAACAGACCTGGAGTATTCTATGAGCTGCTGCTGCTTGACCATCCTCAGAGGGTCTGGGGGAGTATAACTCCCTGGGAATGCCACTCAATGAGGATTTGGGTGGATTTGAGATAAGCAGGGGGAACCCTGGAAGTTGGCTAAGCAGCATAACAGAAAATAGCGCCAGCTTCAAGATGTCAAAGAATGTCCTTTCAGCAGTACGATGATAGTAGCCCATTACTTTGGCTAATCTGGACCATGTCACAGAGAAAGCTGCTGGAACTAGTTCGTTGGAGTTTGGGTTTGAGATGTATCTCTCTGCATGAGGTTTCTGTACTTTGATTGAATTGCATCTCCAGTTGCACGGTCATGGTGCGGACAAAGTAGTCAGTGTAGCCTCACAGCTTGCTTGATGAGCTGTGCTGCACTGGACCCAAGCTGGTGTCCTTCGGCCTAACCCATTGCTTTTCACAGGCAACACTGGGTCACTTTATTCAAAGAAAATATGCTAGGGAATGGAATTGATTGTCTGGAATGCTTTATCATCCATGCTTGGACACAGGCAGATCTGCAGCGCTCTATAAGTCATTGCTGTACCAATAGCCTTCTCTTTTCTACGTACATCATAAACAACCAGCCAAGTTCAAACTGAGTCAGATTGTAGCCTAATCCAGTAGCTGGAAGCTTGCAGGCACTCCATCCTGTGTTGCTTTAACCAGGTCAATCTTTTATTTATAATTTGGGGTTTGGCTTCACGAAAACCAGGAGGATGGAAGTGGGGGATCACGAGATCTGAGGCAGCGATGGCTGCCATGTAGCTCTAACTATAACAACTGGGCTCCTGCTCTAATAAGGCCCCAGCTCTGTCAGGCCCCTCCCTCAATTCTTACAGTTCTCACTGAAGGGCCACAACAATTTTCAAGCCTCAAAATGGGGTCACAGAGAGAAAGCATTTGGGAGGCACACCTTTACGGTTCCTGCTTCCTAATTATTGTTTGCTTACACCTAACATCTTTGAGCTTGGGTAAGTAAGCTACTGTTGCAGGCCAACTGAGTTTGCTTGGGGCAGAATTTTCTGAGTTTTTACACGCAGACTTCTTCATAATTTATATTAGATCTGAAAATTGGTTTGTCACAAACAAATTGGGTCAATCCACTGCCTAGAGTAACTTAATTTTAAATTACTGAAAATGACTTAGAAAATATGCAGAATTATCATTTGAGTGCAATAATCAATGCCTTGTTTAGTTCAAAGAAACCCATTCAAAAACCTAACAAAAAGCCTTTTGGGCTAAAAAAAAATCCAACTTAATTCTCAGAAACTGCTCAAAGGTTTGCAAGCAAGCACAGTGAGCAGAGGCCACTTGTTAATGAGGTTAGCAAGACATTTATGCAAAATTAATATCAGCAAATAAGCACATAAAGATACAGACAAATAGCCAGGAGAGTGTCATGGCAACTACACTGGAAAAATAAACCACACAGCTAAGGCTAATCTCTGAGGATACAGATTCAAATCAGCTTCACAGAAGTTCATCAACTTCAAACTCAATTAATAAATCTGGAATTGTATTTTAATCTTAGTACGTAATGGTGACCACGACAACCATCATTGATTGTCATTAAAAGCCATCTAGTTCACTATTGTCCCTTAGGGAAGGAAATCTGCCATCTTTACCTGGTCTGGCCTACACGTGACTCCAAGCTCATGCAGTTAACTCTTAACTGCCCTCTGAACTGATCTAGAAGTCACTCAGTTCAAGGGGTCATTAGAGAATGGGTGGCCTGGTGTCTTGCACTGCTGCCTCTCAGTGCCAGGGACCCAGGTTCACTTCCATGCTTGGGCAACAGTCTGTGTGGAGTCCACACATTCACCCTGTGCCTGTGTGAGTTTCCTCCCACAGTCCAAAGATATGTGGGTTAGGTGAATAGGCCATGCTAAATTGCACATAGTGTCCAGGGATGTGTGGACTAGGTGAATTAGTCAAGGGGAATGCAGGGATAGGGTAGGGAGGTGAGTCTGGGTGGGATGGTTTTTGGAGGGTCAGTGTGGATTCAATGGGCCTGCATTCTCACAGTCGGGATTTTGTAATTGCTGATCATTTGGGTGAAGTCCACATGCCATATAATAATTTTTTAAAATTAACGAATAGCTCTTTAATTACCACCTCTCAGGAAATTCTGCCCCATTGATAGACTTTCTACCTATGGCAGTAATTCCACTAACCAAATAATCGAGTTTGGGTTTTTGTTCCCAGTTAGAATTAGATGTGTTGGCATGGGGTTTTAGCTTAAATCTTCTCCCTTACTTTCTGAGCTACAAGAACGTTTGAATGTTATTACTTGTAGAGAAAAAGAAAGTTTGAAATTGGGTTGGGCACTTATAATTACATCAATACTCCATCAAATTAATCCTGCCTGCCATCCTTAATTATACTGATGACATTACATGACTCAGGATGAGAGATAATTCATGAGTGTTGGAATTACGTTAACAAATGGCTATCAAAAAAATGTAATTGACTTGGATATAACATAAGAATGTGAAGGTGATACTCAGACATTGATTATCTACAGAGCTGGGTGGAATTAAAAGACACTTTAGTGGAACCTTAAATCTAATTCTGTTCCATCTCAATTAAAATCATTAATAGTCATTCAACCATGACCACATTTATAAAAAGTAGGCAAGTCAACTGTTATTAGTCATAGAATTTTACAGCACAGATTAATATGATAATGAAAGCGAAATACTGCAGATGCTGGAGATCCAAAACAAAAATAAATGCTAGAGAACGCCACAGGTTTGGTAGTATCTATGGAAAGGGAAACATTTGAACATTAGAGGAAAATGGAGTTAAAGTTTGAATTCCGATATAGAACAGAAGGGAGCTGGTAAATTTGGCTTTCATGTGGTTGACAAAGTTGAAAGGCGGAGTGAGTAGAGAAGGAGGGTGCCCAAAGCAAAAGACAAGGGACAAAACCAGAACTGAGGAAGTGTTCTGAGGAAGGGTCACCGGACTGAAACTTTAACTCTGATTTTTTCTCCACAGATGCTCCCAGACCTGCTGAGCACTTCCAGCAACTTCTGCTTTTGCTCCTGATTTACAGCATCCACAGTTCTTTTGGTTTTCAAAAGACAAGGGAGGTGATGATAGTGGGAGAGGAGAGAGTGAGATACAAAATAGGCGCTAATAATGGGTGTGAATAGTAGAAAGTAGGTCAGCTTTGCTGAGTGGTCTATATGATATATTGGCAAAACAGATCAGCAAAGGGACAGGCATTGGTTATTCAGCTGCTGAAGCCTGTTCCACTGTTGAATTTGATCATGGCTGAGCATTTTTTCCTGGTGCACATTCAGAAACCTTACACTTTAGTCCCTAGAGTGTGTGGTGTACTATTAATAAAAATTGGCCAGGCTCACAGATCTGGACAGGAATTTAGAAAAAAAAAACTGCAGCAGACAATAAAACATTTAACACCTTTCTTATCCATAAGTTTATCTTATGTATGTTTACTTTACATGCTGCTTTACTAAATTGTGCTTTTATGTAATGGCACAGTTTACAAAAGATGAAAACGCATTGCACAACACCATTGGAATGTTGGCATGTGCCATGACTAATTGTATTGTCACACTTAATTTTGAAATCCACAGTCAACCTTGCATATTTATTTGCCAACTATTAACCCTTTGAAGGTGACAAAAGTGTGTCTGGACTTGACTGAAAGGCACCTCAAACAGGAACATATTAACATAGGGAGAGGAAGTGAAGTGAAGGGTGCAAAAAAATGACCAAAGAAAAGCTAAACTCCGATAACACTCACAGTCGCCAGCAGATTATTTTTTAACAGTGTCATCAAGGGAAGAATCTGAGTGCTGTATTGGGTCGCCAGATCATCAGTCAGTGTGTTTAGTTTTGCTGTGCCCTGGGGCATTCTTCAAGCTGGTTTGAGCAGTAATGAGAGTTTCTGCAAGAGGACATCTTTAATCTTTACAGTGTCGGCAGAGCTTGCCAAGTAGAATGACTATGTTTCGCAGTAACCTCCTGGAGCTCTGGATTGGTTATGGGCCTGGGGTGGTCACTCTGGCATGCCTTGCCTCTCACTCATTGTCTACTCTACACTCAGATGGCTCTGAGGCGGGAGCACACTGTCCACTAGCGTTCTCAAGGCCTTCTGCAACCATGGAAACCATAAGGATTAGAGTATAGACGATAATATTATTAGTTCATTTTATGTTTCCTTTGTTTTACTGTTCCGACTTTTATGGGCCATGCCTTTGTAAAACAGAGGGGTGTTTTTGTTTAATCAAATTGCGGCAGCCCAAAGTTTCTTTATAGTTTCAGTGAGAAAAGGTTTTACAACCTCAAGCATTGACATGGTTTAGATTTATTGTCACTCATGGGTGAGATGTCCCCCAAACCCCCAGGAGCAATCATTCTGCATTTCATCAATGGACTTGTCTGTTATCAAACAAACATTGGGGAGAACCTATATCTAAACATTTAATTCATGCATGTCCCATGGGCTAGAGTTTAATTGGTGTCTCAGATTTGATCACTTCCCAGAACAAACTTTC